TCAAATGACTAAAAGTGGTCCAACAACGTTTACAGCACTAAACTGTCAAAATGAGAAGGATAACAAAATGATACATTTTTGAAAAAACCAATTTCCGTTCAGCAGTTAGTCGAGGCCTTCACACAATTACGACCTAATTATCTGCACAGTTCTTAATTGACCTGGTGACGTCAAATAATTGGAATAGAAAGCAAAACAAGCCGTCATTTCTTGCTTTTGTATCAATGTTAGAACAACAGAAGCTTTTACAAGTTGATTAGGATCTAAGTTCTATTTGGAAAAAAATCCTAAATAACCACATATGGCATTAGCTGATCCCGCAACTCAAGTGATGCTGGGATTAATGGAGGGAGTTCTTTTGAACCCTCCAGAATGTCGCACTCTTGAAAAAGTAAAGATGATTCTTCCTCTCCTAAGAACGAGATCACCTTTGTTTTATAACCTCAGAAAAGGTGAGTAAGTAAGTATCTACCAATGTTTTTCAAAGATAACTCTTCAAATGAAATATATTTTTTAATAGAAGAAATTGTATCAAGGGCAGAACACCTGAATCCATGCATCATTCTGGAAAACGTTTGCGCGCGCGCATGACCAAAAACTTCACCTGATTTCAGTTTCTGTAAACTGAATATCATGCCTTTATTGGTCTTAAGGTAATCGTTTCGAAGTAAACAATGCTTAACATTTTTTACTGTGTAGAACTCAACTTATTAAGTACGGGGAATTGATCGCTATTGAAACATCATTCATCCATAGTCAACTGAGACATGATATCGTTTCCTATATTCAGAGCTTTTGGCATATAAATAAAGCATTCCCTTACATTCTCTGGCCGCCAAACTAACCAACCAGTTAGAACGAACAAACTTAAATATACTCAACTGACAACAACTCTTCACTCAACTCTGATGATGACTTCCGCGAATTGAAGTTGACGAAACGCTGGTCACCACTACTGACAACAGTCCTTTAAGTACAACCCTCGCTTGGACGATCAGACTACCAGAGAAAATGTTGCCCCCGGGTTCGAACCATTCATTGCATTGTTTACTTTATTCGAAGAATGACATAGGAAAAGAGTGAATTTAAGAGTAAGAATTTAGGATCAAACTTTTGAATTTGAATTGATCACTCTTAACTTAATTAGCACTTTTACATTCATCGTTATCATCATCATCGTTATCATCGTAATCATCATGATTATATCACGCGAGAGAATATCTTCTCTTGTATCTCCAGTATCATTTTTAACATCAAAATTTAAGTCTGTTGTAGCGAAGTCATGCATATAACCCCTTCCATTTTGTTAATCAGACCTTTTTTAATCCATAGATCTCCTTGTGGACATTGCCACAAATGCTAGTTTGAAGAAATTCAAAAGAGATCATGTTGTCATCTGGCAAGGACAAGAAGGAAATAAGTAAGAAAAACTCGGTAATAATACAACAATGAATTAGTTAGTGTTGTGTTAGTGACAAAGCAGCCTGACAGTTCTTCCAGGCTCAGAAAGTTATAACTGAACGTTCCTGTCTTTGAAACAATCGTACCGCTTACAGAAAGTGACGTTCAAAACTTCCTTGAAGAGAAAGAAAACCAAAATAGGGAAAGAAGAGCCAGAAGTTACGTAATCAGTGGCTTTCGTAATGGCTTTTCTCGCTGCTAAGAACGAAAATCGGCAACTGGAAGATTTGCCACTGGCCGAGTTTGGCCAGTTACCTTTATAGATTTCTTATTTCGGTACGGACAAAGTCAATAACTGAGAATTTTGTAAATTGAAAAATACGCCCATTATTTGATTTTGTAATGATTCAACGCATTTTTTATCTTGAGTCTTATCGTCTACGCACTTTGCAACTTCTTTTCGGGGCTTGTGAATCCTATTTTTTTCCATTAATTATTCGGGGATTATCAATTTATTTATTTTCATTCATTAATGAAATCGACTTTCTTGTCAGTAAAGGGCTATTGTATTTATATAATGAACACAATAATACATGCATGCTTGCTTGAAGATATGGAATTTCTATTCTCGTGTCCAATTCTTGAACTATTGAAAACTTGAAGAGAAATTCCATGCCTATGCACGCCCATGTATTATACTCTATTTATAAAGCCTGATAACACTTATTTCTTTCCATAAACCGACGGTGCGTAAGAAAGACTTTCTAATGGTTTTGTCCCTAATTCTCGATGATTGCCTGATTCATAACAGTTTTGGGGTCATTATCAAAGGAGCTGCGTCAGTGCATGCCAGGGAGGACCACGGAGGAGCACCTCAACAGGACACTGTATCAATACCACGTGGCCAAAGAGAACGTGTGGCAATGGTCGGCCATGAGCTTAGGCACATTTCAGCGGGAGGTAGCTTCGGTGAAAGGGCCATGTTATGTGAACATCCGCCATACAACGTGACTGTTATAGCTGACGAACTGATACATGTGCTACTGATAGACAGAACGCTTTACGCGAGATCATTTGGTGCTCACAAGCTGGAGTGGGAAAAAAAGGTTGAGTTCGTCAATCAGTCTCCCCTTCTCCGACATTTGACGCCAGCTATCCAGAACCTGTTAATGGAGAACTTAAAACCTCGCGAGATACAGTTTGGTAATCGCTTCATAAAGCAAGGAGGCGTTTGCAATAGCCTTTTCTTCGTTTGTAGTGGATGGGGAAAAGTTATAGCAGATCTGCGCATCAGCAGGACCCAGTATGAAGCAATGAAAGCAACTTCGAGAAGCAAGGAGAAATCCTCAGGTCGGAAGACCATTAGCTGTGACAGGGAATACATACACACTAAGAAACTGGATCCTAGTCGCCCTCTTTCGGTCATCAACAGACGAAAGTACATGCAGGAGTTTGGATACGTTGCCGTAGAGACGCTTTTGAGACAGAGAGAAGTACCTGTGACAACTACAGGTCCAAACGACGTCATCGGTGACATTGAGGTTATAATGAATTTCCCAACGTACTGTGCGAGCGTGGAGTGTATTGAAACCTTGCACGTTTACGAGCTGAGCAAGTTCGATTTTTATCAAATTGTTAACCACAGGAGTACTGAAACAGACGATCTCTTACGAAATGGTGCTCTCGCCAAGCTGTGTTTTCGAGCCCAGCGTCTAAAGAATATACCGTTGTACACCTTGCTATACGAGCAAGCCTTAACTCCTGTCAAAGAACCAACAAGGAAAGCATCTCTTTGGGCACAAAAGGCCAATCAAATTAGAACTATAAATAAAATGGTCAGCAGCTTGAGCAAAATTCAACGAACGCCTGCAGTGGACAAGACAAATAGCAGCAAGGAAGCCGAGAAGAGGTATAAGAACGGTGGAGATTCATTGGTAAAAACAACCAATGAAATTACGACACTGATCACGTATTGAGATTTCATGATGGGAGTAAACCTGTTAAAAATTTTTTCCCAAATGCGCTCAATTTCGACTACAGGAAGTCGCCATTTTTAATTTTGCACAGGATACTGTCTGAGCAGTTTAAAATTGCGGATTCCGAAATCGAGTTTTGAGCTCATTTGGAGACAGTCTTTGAACGGTCAGGATTAAATTTCGATACGCAGTATTGAATTTATATAACATGGTTTTCACAGCATACTTCTCTTTAAGAGTGAGTCACCCCCTCCCTGTGAAAAAGATTTTCATCGTACGCTGCAACGCGCGCTTAAAATAGTTTTGTTTTATTTATCACTTTCGACCCCTTTTCATACGGCAATGTCGACACACATTTGAGTAACACGTTGTTTATCTAGTAGAGACAATACACAAAAAAAGAGCAACACGACAGATTGAACAAACTTATGGGAAACAAATATTTTACCGATCAAACTGCACAGAAAGTGGAATTTCCAATTATAAGCGTTACAACACATTACAACAATCATGTCGATATATTTTTTTTACGTTTTCCAACATTCGTTTCATTAACTTAGAGGCACGAGTGGAAACAAAACTGATGACAAACAGCTGGACAAGAAGGTAAAAAAAAATCATGCGCGGAAGCTACAATGTAGGCTATCTTAAATAATCAGAACTAATTGCGTAACAGGAACCACTCCGTTGCCGAAGGTTGGGTATCCAATCAGAGTCAAAAAAATCAACTAAACATTCACTCAGTCAACTAATCAGTCTTTAAGTTAGTCAATCAGCCTTTAATTCACCTAGAAAGTTATTTAGTCCGTCAACAAATCAGCAGGGAGTTATAACAGAGTTATAACCCACCCGTTCAATCAGTGAGTCGGTCAGTAACTGAGTCAGTCGAATGGATATCCTGCTGGCAAACATCAACGTCATTCATCAAAAAGAGTTACAACTGTGTTTAAAATAGGAAATTGTTATCTTTTATCTTGCGATTAATTCTCTACCAAAATGAATCGCTCTGCTGCACACAAGATGTTGTATTCTACAACATGTAGTCTGCTTCAGACGATGCCGTCGCCTGAGGTGGAGCGAAAAGGTTCATGATAATTTAGCTGAATGAGCTTTTAGCCAACCATTAGTTATAGTGAAATTGCATGATAATCGACACACATATCTAAAATGTCTAGTCATTGCCGCGTAATTTGTGATCGTTCAATCGAACTGCAAACATGTTTTTATGTGATTAAATTCTTCTGAAAGGATGCCCAATGAATAAATCCTCACAAAAACCTTACGAAATAATGGATTACAATGTAAATTTCTGCTTCTTTTACAGTCTGCTCACAGGTTGATGCAGAGGAATTTGCAGAGACGAAGTGTCAGCTGACGGTTTTTGTCCAGGTGTTCGATTGGTCAAAAGAGAGATTGCATCTAAACAACCGAGCTTCTTTACTTCCTCTATCTTTGGCTTCTTTTTCCTAACGCATTAATTTAAAATTAATCTTTTGAACCTAGCCTGGTATATGTAGAACGCTGTGCAGGTGTATTTTTTTTTATAAAGTCCACGGGAGAAAAGAGTTTGAGCTGCCCATTGTGGTCAGTGGTGTTTTAATTGTTAATCTTGAACATCATGAATTATTTTTTTAGGGAAATTGGTAGTCTCGCATCGCCAGTATTTCTTGTATGGCCGGAGAATTTGGATGGTGTGTGTTTTGGTATATAGGTATCATCCTAATTTTCGTCGTATTCATCTATTGGGTAATGCCGGAGTTCTCTCCGCAGAACTATACTCAATCACCTTCTCCAACATCGGATAACCTACAACTGGGCTTGAAGAAGTTTTTTCACTGAAGAAGGAGCTTCCCAAAGCGTGGCCATACTCTGCAAGGTTTGACCAAACTTGTTTGATGTATTTGTGACGCAACTGTTGTATATGATGAGAAATTCCACTACGTCCCAATGATTGTTCCTCGCGGCGGCCATGGCGGGTGTCTCTCCAAATTGATCACTGTGGAAATAAATAGCATAACTCAGGCATTGTTGGCATACAACGAGGGTGTTTGCTCCTATGCTTCTACTGACAGGCGACATCTGGAACAGCAGATTTTTAAAATCAGTCTGATTATATTTTGTTAGAAGTTTTCTTAAAAGGCTCTGATGCCAAGAACCGAAAAACTGACCACTGTCATTAAATAATGACTTCTTAGGTTGACAACTTCCGGAAAAAAAAAGAAGGAAAGAAAAATTATAATCCATCGGATCTTATCTGTCGTAAAGAGAGCTCAAAGAGCATTTTACTCTAATCGATTAATTCAAATTCCCGAGCATTTTATTTAGATCATCTGTTCAGTTTGTGCGATGCTAACCCGCGCTATTAATGAATGATGTTTAATGCATGTTGTCTGCACGGTCATTTGAGGTAGATTCTGCTAGTGTTTACCATACGTTCAGGCCAGCTTTTCCTGTCACAATCTAACCCCCCCACCACCCTCTCCTTCACTGATACTTATATGTCTTCTTTATAAGCTACTATATAGTACGAGAGTAGGACCTATGAGGTCTCTCTGCCGAGTAAGTACCTCTTTCATACCTCTTGTTCCAATATTTCTTACCTGGCACGCCTTAATAGAAACAATCAAGATGAGCTTTTACTTACGTTTCGTTAACTTTGGCTCCAGTCTCCAGAAGTTTCCTGGCGATGTTCACATCCGCTGCGCAATGCAACGGCGTCTTCCCCCGCGGAGTCTTTACATTTACTTCAGGAAATATCTCGGTGAGCAGATCAATGACTTGAAAATTGCCCTTAGTTTCCGCCGCTACATGTAGCAACGTCTTGTCCCATGGACTAACACGAATCTCCTGAAGTTTCTCCTTAACTGAATCTTGCACGTTTATGAGAGTTTGTAATAGATCTCTGTCTCCGCCACTTATCGCGTCAGTGAGTAAGCGCTCGCAGGACATTGATCGAACAAAACCATCTGTGTTGATTCCACGTTGAATTAGCAGCTTAGCCACACACAATGTCTTAGCTAGGACTGCGATTTCCAGGACGGTGTTTTGATAGACATCGCTGGCATTAATATCAGCTCCTCTATGCAGAAGTAGTTCCACAGTAGTCACATGACCGCGTTTAGCTGCCAACATAAGTGGGGTTTGACCATTCAAATTAACGCTATCAACCTTAGCACCCTTTCTTAGTAGGAGAAGTATCGTCTCGTTGTGTCCATTTTGCGCTGCGAAATGTAGGGCTGTGGAGCCTGTTAGGCTTCTTTCCGTATCTTCATTGGTGTCACCTGTGGGATGATTCACATCGCATCCATGTTCGATGAGAAAAAAGACGATTTTATTTCGGCCATTTTGAGAAGCGTAATGAAGTGACATAAGTCCACCGTCGTCTTCGTCGTAAATCCGAGCACCCGATCGAACCAGGAGCATCACCACATCAAGAGAGTTGTTAGCAACCGAAAAGTGCAGAGCTGTCCTTTGTTTGTTGTCTCTGGCGTCCACTCTTGCTCCATTAGCAAGGAGAAACTCCACAACCTCGGACTTACCAGACGCACATGCCGACATAAGAAGTGTCCTGCCACGCTGGTCTGTTTTCTCGAGACAACTTTTCCTGTCCTCTTTGAATTTTTTACATCCAGCAAGGACTTTTTGTAACTGGCTCAGACTTCCTTTGCTGACAACTTCGCGTAAAAGAGATATATTTTGGAACTTTTTCACGGTTTTGTTCAGAATGTGCAATACAGCTTCGCTACTGGAATTTTCCTCTATAGGAAGTTTGTCAGGAGAACAGGCCACCGGGGATAAATTAACGTATGCGAGCATGCGAGATATGAGGAAGTCCGCTGTACCTGCTGTAAGAAGTGCTATGGAAATATCAAGGCTGCTCGGGCTAAACCTCAGAATCGTTTCCGTCGTGGACAAATCACCTTTCATAACTAAGGCTTGTATTACACTTAGCCCGTCAGGACCATCTGGATTTGTTAGTCTGTAGAATGCCTGCATCTTAAGATTATCCTTGAGAGAAGAAAAAACGCAACTAAACAATAAGGAAATCTACAGGTGATTTATACATTAATAAGAGTTTCAGTTTAAAGACCACCTTAGTAAAGATAAGCAATTCAAGCGGCGATATTTAAGATAAACAAGCTTTCATTTTGAGATCCACGAGAGACTCGTTAGCTTGCAGTCTCCTACTAAGCTGTTCTCTGAAATGGACCAAATACTTTTCTCCATTTTCGCTTCTCATGCCTTTCTTGGTTTTACAGCTCGTTTTCGAGGTCACATGCAAGCGTGCGCTGGACTATGGAACGAAATGATAAAGGGGGCAAGTTTCTAAAGAAACTGTGGAGCTACATCCGTGGGAGAGTATAACAGGGTAATTTGCTATCATTAACTGGGTTCATAGCGTAAATTGGCCGCCGGAAAGTATTCAAAAGTTGACGTTTCGAGCGTTAGCCCTTTGTCAGAGCGATTCAATTTACGTTATCAACTCAGCTGATAATACTAAATTACCCTGCGGAAGGAAAGATCTGGGTTTGAGCATGAACCTGACTCTCAAGAGCACTTCTCTCCGCCCAGTAGTATATATGCATGGCATCAAAAGACTGTTAGGCAAAGCTCAAGAAAAAAGGAGTGGCTGTAGGGACGCGGATTTCCCCAGAATAGCCGCACTTGGAGAAATAAAAGTACCCATAATGATATATCAATGATATATAAACGGCATTGGAAGACGATTGAAAACCCATACAGCCGTCAAGCAACTGACCATGAAACGGACGTATCGCAGCTATAAAAAAAGGGGGCCATGTAACAGCGCTCGATGTTCAGAATGCATTTTTGAGGGGTCTTTTGATGTTATTTTTTCCGTAAAAGCAAAATTTTCTTGCATGATAGTCAAAACGGCCTTTCGCTCGAAACGCGGCGTATGGAGAGAATTCTCTAAAGTATATGGTAAGTAACTGAGTGTTGAGGACTGAATTGAATTATCGTGAGATTTTTTAAAGTCGTGACTCGAACTGTATTCAAGTGTTTGGTTATTTAATTGCGCTGTAATTGGCCGTGAATTCAAATAGGGGTCTTAGTTTTGGAGTGTTTTTCAAGTGCGAAAACCCAAATCCTGAACCAGTCGTTCGAGTGGTCTTAGGTCTTAGGTCTTCCGTCTTAGCTTTCGTGACGACAGCTATCTGATCACTTATTCCGCAGGGCAAGAAAACATTTAAGCGATTCATCCGAACAAAGAATTAGAATGAAATCACGTTACCCTTTGTTTTCTTCCCTTTCATCTTACTTCATTGTTACAGTTTTAAACTGGATCACTAAACGCGAACTGCTAGGTTTTTTTTTTGCTAATAGTCCTTGATAGTTAGGAATCGCGGACAGACCCTCAGATCTTCACATCACAAATCATCGCCAAAAGTGTTTCGGTAAGTCAACCACAAGCTCAGATCGGCCAGCCAGGCGCTTCACTTCGATCGAGGAATGGAGAACATACATGATTTCATTGTAAGATTAAAAATATTTAGCCAGGAAATTGGTATTTTTTGCAGTAATACGGTGTGTACAATCTTTAGATCAGCCACAGTTTCTGGGAAACCAAGGACCACTGAATCTTTCAGTTCTTGAAACGCGACTACAAATGCAAAAGCTCTCCACCAGCCAAATCAATCAACTTACCGGCTCTCTAATTTTGTATTCTTTGGTAACCATTCTGGTTTTTTCCCTGTTCTTTGTACGCTGAATCGCAGGTAAATTAAATAAACACTGACCAGTAACTCCGTGCAAATATATCAACAGATGACAGGACACAAAACACAAGCCAGGTTTATGCAAATTTTCAGTGTTTTCAAAATAAAGACACCAGCGGACCGTGAACCAGTTACAGCTACCTGTGGACCACCCGATGAGTCAGTGATATCATACTGGACGCACGAAAGAAACATTGAAATGTCGCAAATGAAGCCCTGGGCCGTGTTTTTCAGAAAAACAATTTAAATTGTATGTATTGTTCCGTTTTTAGAAAAATACCATGGTGTTTCCATGAACTTGAGGACTCTGAAGAAAAGGTTGCGTGAGTTTGGGTTGAGAAGGAGAAACGAAGCCATTCAGAGCACGAAGTTCGGGAAATAATTAAACATGAAATCGAAGGCCCTTCATCATTTCTTTTTCTAAAAACAGAATAATAGTATCATAACGAAATCCTCTTTCAAACTAGTGTTCATTGTCAGATCTCTCATCTGACGAACCGTGCAACTCATTTTTCTGTTCGTGTCTCTTTTAAGTTCCACATCGACGGCAGAATAGTTCATTGCTCGCAAATTTTTTCCCACATTTTTGGCAGAAAATCGCAATACACTTGGTACAGTTTAGTACGTTTGCGTAGTGACTCCAAGTCGACTTAGTTCAACCTAGTGCGTCGACAAGATGTGCTGTATCGTGACACAGTGCTAACTACTAGCGCGTGTCAAGTGACAAAAATATTCTTCTCGATTTACGAAACTTCTGGATTTTGGAAAGATTCTTGAATTGTAAACTATTTTCGATTTCCATGAAAGTTATTTGAGGATCCATGAATGAAACCAGGATTTGAAATTGATTTCTCGATTTGACAAACTTTTCAAAAGCGATTTGTCTAAAAGATATCGATTCTAAATATTTTTTCGGATTTGCAAAATATTTCTACATTGTTCCTCTTCGGCTTCCGTAGGCAAGGCCCGCTGAATGATCAAATTTTCAACACTTCGTTTTCTGAAAATCTCCACGAATTGCAATGAAATTAAGTCGTATTTACCGTAGGAAGTGTTTTCAAGGAGATATCTATATATAGAAATCCACTACAGCATGTTTTCATTTTCTATGATTATTCTTGAAAAGCCATTGAATGATGAAATTGTCTAGGCCTGTCAGGGTTACCATGACGTCGGTCAAGGACGATTGCTTCAGTTTCGCTAGAAAGGAGAGTAAAACTTCAGCTCTCATCGCTGCATTGAGAAAAGATGGACAGCCCAAACTGAAATGATCACACAATGAAAGAATTTGTATTATAATCTGAAATTTAAAAAAAAGAGTATTCATCATACGCTATCAAAATGCAAATATCGTGAACACTATGAAAGGGAAGCTTAACTTCTCTGCTTTCACGAATTATTGCCATTTTGAAAAATTAGTTCACTTTTTGTATCCTGGTGTGTCTTCTTTCAGGTTTTTCTAGTACAAGTTTTGCAGATGAATGTGCTTCTATGTGTTTTTTGTCTTTTAACAAAAACGTCGTTAACAGCAATAGAGCGGACTGAGTATGTACCGTATCAGATACGGTGGCCGTATTTGACTGAAGTACTTTAAGCATCAAAGTCTTGGGTTGTTTTTTGGTTTTAGACCCAGCCAAACATACAGAACTGCCTTTTTCAGGCTTCGGATTGTTTTCAAACTTTGAGGGTGGGTTTTTGGAGACGTCTTTTTGTTGATCAGCGTTGCTGTCTCCTAATTTTCTGCTTTTAAATCTGTTCACTTCAGGTGTTGGTGTTGATCTGTTTAAGAGATATGTGAACATTGATAAACATCAATCATAATGCAAAGCTTACAACTGGGTACCATGCATTTAACCAAGTGTTTGCCCAAAAAGCTGTATCTGCGTCTTCGTAAAAATAATTTAAAACTTTAAATTGCATTGTCCCTTTTCACCCAGCATCAGTATGAATATTCTCCAAACTGTTCTCCATACATTTCTAACAATGCTGATAAGGAGAATTTGTTTGACAATCAAGTGCCTCATAAGTTGGTGATCATTTCTTTTATTCTCGTGAATTTAATGTTTAATGTATGATATGGGGGGATATTGTTAGGAGAAATTAGATGCTAGTCACTCTCAGGGGGTAATAAAGGTTAAAGGTCAATAGTACGAGATATTCTCGTTGACTGGTGCCTATTCAACTTGTGACGTCATCAGTTACTAAGCAAATCATGCGATGTAGAGAACAAGAATAATGGTCTGTGCGATTTTTTAGAGTTGGTTTTATCTTTCATTTGAGATTCCATTGGTTCTGGACAACTTTGATGGAACTTTAATGATCAATACGCTTATGAAGAATGCTTTTCCCTTCCTCGTGAACGGGCTGCCACTCCCTGTTGCGTTATTCTAAAATATAACTTGCATTGATTCGTTTTTGTTGTTGTTTTTTTCTTTCTTTTACTCAGTGAGAAAGTATAAACTTACTTGCCCTGTTTGGGTGGTGTCTCCGTATCGGGCTTGGGTTCTGGTTCGGATGTTGTTGCTATCAGTCGTACAAAGAGAGCGCAGAGGGCGAGAGCAGCAAGTAACACCAGGTAGAAAGTAGAAGAAAGAAACACTTCAGCCATTTTGAAGCGGAAAGGAAAACCTGTTGAGAATGTAATGTTTAGAATCATATACAGATTCGAGTCTAAAAGCCGTTCTGAATTTCTTGGGAGCAAGTTGTTATCAGTCCTTTGTAAAAAAATTCCTGCTGGACCTTGACCAAAGAGGGGTTCTTTTAGTACCACTAAACCTTTTTGTTGCTTCATCTCACGATGTTAAAGAGGTAAGTTTAACTCCAAAACAAAAGGTAAAGCAAACGATTTAACAAAGCCAATAAAGAAAAAACCCAAAAGTCAGAAATCTCGTAACCACCCTAGGTGGGACACGTTTGTCGAACAGGCATCGACCTGCCTAACCTGGTTCCCATGTTTGCCTCGAGCTCTACTGTGTAGGTATAGTCATGGGTTTGTTGCGTCGTCAGGTTAGCACAAAATGTTAATTATTTGTTGTTGTTTGAACTCTGCCATGGGTTTACTTAGAATTGAGCCAGGTTCGCTTTTCCTTTGTTAACTTAACTTCCTTTGAAGGCATGTGATAAATTTAGGAGTAACACATTGTGTGTGTAAAGATTTCATTAAAGATATCGACTGGTGCAGAATTGATTTCACCATGATCTGGTCTTGAGTATATTTATGCAAGAGGGGATACTTTATCCTCTCTTGATTAATGTAAGGGGACATAAATGTGTCTGATCAATGATTAACCCTCTATGGCTCCCATGATCCGCCTATTACTTCTCCCTACCGATCGCCAGACATCTCCTTGTAAATAACACAAAATAATTTAGTTCTCCATCAGGACCACACTGTTAAGCTCAGTGAGAAGTTAGTCTGTTCTCTTTTTGTATTGAGGCTTTTTCTTTCATCAAAGAGTTAAGAAAAGCTGCAAGACTTCCTATACGCCGGAAAATGAAGCACTCAGTTCCGATGAGAAATTCAGAACACCAAATGAAAACAACAAGAAAATATTGATCGAAGAGGGATACAACAGTCCTAATACACATCGGTACTTGTGAGCGGTTTTCGAGGGGTAGAAAATGATACGCACTTTAAAGAAAAAGAAAGAGACTTCTACTTGAAATAAAATGGGAAACACCTTGACTCACCAGCAGAGAAGGAAGCTTGAGAAAGTTTTTGCCGCAGAATCTTAATGGCAGCCGACTGAAGGAAGACTTCAACACGCATCACGAACTGAACCTTTTCATGCCACAGAAAAACTATGTGAGTGGCAACAATTGTTGGCTACGTCATAATTAAATAAAGAATTCTAAGCACGCGCGTGTGTGCGCGCGTATACGTTTCCTATTCTCGCACATTGCGAGCCCTCAATCATAATCACTCTCTCACGCAACCCCCTCCCGCCCAGACAACAGTTCCAACTCTAAAGAAGCTGGTAACGAATAGCAATCCAGCCCTTACAGCCACCCCCTTAATAAATATTTTCGCTATACTACTGAGGACAAAATGGCGGCTGCTGTCGAAGTCCGATGGCCTAACGAGAAGGATCAGTACGAACTACAAGAGGTGATAGGTAAGATAATTATGGTAATTTTTCAAATTAAATTACACAGCTTTCTCCAGATATAAATTTTCTGTACAGGGTATGGTGCGACAGCTGTTGTTCAAGCTGCAAAGTGCATCCCTCGCAATGAGCGTGTTGCTGTGAAGAGGATTGATTTGGAAAAGTGCGGCGCGAGTATTGACGAAATGATGGTAAGTTAGCTGCTGTGAATTATAGAATTCGTTTATTTCAATTATAAACTAATTATGCCTAATTTATATCTATGATGATCATGTAGTGAGATTTCTTGCTGCGGTATTTTCCCGGACCAACAACAAGCCGATCATATGCTATCAAGAAAATCTACTGACAGATCGAGGCCGTTACTAACCTATCGACATCTGCTGGTTACCTATGGACCAATGATTGTATAAATAGCCTGGTTTGAACTAATATTTTACATCCATTTACGTCGAGGAGAATTGTAGAAAACGTTGTCTATCCCTCAAAAACCGCTCGCAAGTTGAATTTCAGCTCACGTCTCCCCCCAAAAAATAGAATTAAATGTTTGCTTAATTAATTTATCCATTTTTCCACGATGACAGCTCACACTCGAATGATTTCAAGACTGCGTGTGTTTTTATTCTCAAGTGATCTGTGGACAATTTTTCAAGTTTTTGTAGGCTTCGAATCGTCTTTGCTGTTTTTATCTCATTGGTCTTCATTAACCTTTGTTTTTGTGCAAAAATGTTCACTTTCGTTTGATTACGGAATCTGTCGACATTTGCATATACAGTTAATGTTCTGCTTGTGCACTTTGTGGCTTGCTGCTCGAAAAGTATGATTTAATGAACAGAAAAAAGGTAGTTAAAAGGTGGAACACAGCTTAAGAAAACTGAGGACCAGTCAAGGCTTTATAAGAGATGAATTTACAAGAATCTTTAAGTAGAGCAATCATTCCAGTTGTTTGAGTTGCCACTGTAAACTTCATGTGGGTAGAATCTTCCGCTTTGTTAAAATCTGTGGGGAAAAAAATATGTTCCTGATAAGGGAATCAGTTTTGTATTTTATTGCAGTACAAGTTCTACATAAATGTTATTTGATGGAAGTTTTGTGGAATGCGTCTATGAGTAGTGCTCTGATTGTGTTACACTCTCTCATGCAGAAAGAAATTCGTACCATGAGCCAGTGCAATCATGAGAATGTTGTGAATTACTACACATCATTTGTGGTGAAGCAAGAACTGTGGATAGTCATGAGGTTGTTGAATGGAGGTAGGAAACTAGTTAGGAATTTTCAAAGTGTTTGAACAATTCTTAATTAAAAGATGCTACAATTGAGATTTTCAAGGTGTTCTGTTAGAATATTTTCAACCTGGTCTGCAAGAGACATGTAGGAAAATTTCTCTCAAACACGAGGCAAATTTAAACCAACAAACTCTGAAGAAACATCATGAGTAATCTGTAAAGGAGAAAGATGGCTTCAGATTCTACTGATTCTGAATGACTGCACTGAACAAAGTTGATCTAAATTTGTGTTGAAAGAATAGTTGAAATGATACAACATACATGTAGACATTTGTAGGCATATAACATCAATAATGCCACTTTTCAGGAAGTGTCAAGAAATTAAATTTCATTTGAAGTGCAGAGTGTTACAATTTCCCCTTTGTCCCACTCATTGTTGTACAAACACAGACAACAATTTGTAACATTGTTCAGTTGGAGAGGGGTTGTAAATAAGGGTACTGGGGATAACATTGGTGTTCTGGTCTAAAATATTGCATTTTCATTGTCAGTGCTAGAAATTCAATGCTGATTAGAGTGTCAGATCTGGTTTCGATTGTGGTATTGAAGTTAAATGTACATAAAGGTTATACTAAAATATCATATTATTTAATATATAAATGCATGTGAGGTATTCTACCAATGAGATAGAAAAAGTAAAAAAGTAAAGCCTTCATACAGGCTCAAATGGCCCATGGGGCTGGCACTTAACTCCGGTTTCCTTTGCATGAAGCGGCTAGGAGAATTGCTACTCCCCCCTGGATGGGATGGTAGTCCATCGCAGGGTTACTCCCAGCATATTTTCTGGTACCCATTTGTACACCTGGGTGAAGAGAAGCACTGTGAGAGTAAAGTGTCTTGCGTAAGAACATAACACAGTGACCTCGGCCAGGGCTTGAACCCGGACCAGTCGATCCGGAGTCGAGCGCACTAACCATGAGGCCACCACACCTCCACTAATGAAATAGAGAAGGAAATTAATTTTGATTTTATCAACTGAGTTGATAATGGAAACTGGCTGTCATTAAGAGTTTCAAAGCTGACATTTTGAGCATTAGCACTTCTTTAGAGCAAAAGAGAAGTTGTTTGGCTCATTCTCATATATATACTGTGTACTCTGTTAAAAAGTTTTGAATAAACCACAGACTGAAGAAAACTATTGGATCACTCTTTTTGCTTATTTTAAAATAGTTTTGACTTGAAACTTTCTGAAAGATGTTCTCCCATGTGTTTATGTTGTTGATCTTCTTGCATGTGTATCTTAGGTTCAATGCTTGATGTGATCAAACACCAGAAGAAACAGGGTCACCTTGTCGAAGGTGTACTTGATGAGGCTGTCATAGCATCTGTTTTGAGAGAAGTTCTAAAGGGTCTGGACTATTTTCATAGCCAGGGGCTAATACACAGGTAAATTGTTCTGCATGATCAGTGTATAATTGAATACTGTGTAATTGTCAAGCCGGCTTTTATTGATCAACAAATAATTTCAGTAGAATGTTGGAAGTAGTTAGGGTCTTTTAGGTTTCAGTTCAACATACTGTAATCTTTTCTCGTTACTAAAAGGTCTTGCCGCTCTGTGGACTAATTAGACCCAAATATAAAATCATTTTGACATGGTCTCACATTTTCCATTGCATTAGATTCTTGGATTG